TGCTGCAGCCAATTAAAAATGCTATGCCATATTTTACTATCTAATTTGCTGCAACAGCCAATCTTTTCTTTCAATGTATACATTTCGATGTTCTAGGAATGATATATTTTCAATATAATAAAAAAAATTTCTTTCTAAGTTTACATAAATCTTTTATCACTCTGTTTACTATTAATTCACTCACGGAAACTTTCGGGATTGAATACCGCTTCGGTTCGCAACGAGAAGCAAGCGAACAGAAGAAGGATCCGGAGGACACTGGAAAATCCTGGAACTATTTCCATCGGGACGGCTATGTAAAGAAACACTGATAAACTTCATTTTCATGCCGTTTATATAAGCTAAACCCCCACCGTGGGCACATCGACTAAGCTAAACGTCGGCGAAATTTATCATCAATTGCTTCTTCCTCGATGAAGAAAAAGCGCGATGCTCTCGAAGCGAATTGGTAAATGCCGAAGCACGTGGTACTACTTTTTCTTCATGAAACAGACGTATCCTGATAGGAAAAGTGTTCTCTACGGGACCTGGATTAACAGCTTTCCGACCACATCTGCGAGAGATTCGCTCTCTATTTTCAGCGACGATTTTATTTCGATTTAAAAAAAAGTTATTTATCGTACATACAATTACAATAGCTTGTAATTAAAGAATACACCCTTTTAATAAAAATCCTAAAATAAAATAAAATTTTATTTAAACTTATTGTTCCTAATTTATATGACAATCGATGTACAAAATACTTCTCTCTCTCTCTCTCTCTCTTCTCTTAATTAAATTTAATCTTTCTGCATGCTCTCGAGTGTTAGAAAAAAACTTGTCAAATATATTTAATTTTATGTCGAATAAATATATAAACAAATTCAATTTAAAAGAGCAATCCTCAAAATTAAAATCAAAAGATAAATGGCAAAGTTTTTTGCCCGCTCTTCTTGAATAAATACTTCAACTTCGATGTTATACATCAATAGCTTTAATCATATTTAACCCATCCAATTGTTTATAGATAATTATTTATTATTTAATCTATTATTTTTTTTGAATCGTTACTTTTTAAGAGGAAGAATATTTAAAATACGTTTTCAAATATTTTGTTACCAATATTCAAAAATATATTTTCGAAAAATTTATTATTTTAAATTATTGAGTACTAAAAAGATATACGTATCAACAAAAATAAATTTAGACTTTTTTTTCAAAAAGTTTTTTTGGTTCGCAAGTTATTCTTATTGGATATAATAAATGAAAACTTATTTACTTAAGATAAATGAATGTTAAAAAACTTGTAATACATAATATCTAAAAATAAATGATCTCCTGTTTATTTATTCATAAATAACACAACTGTCATGTATCATACAAACAATTTACAATACGCTAGAATTAATTACATATACAAAATAAATTTTTATGCCTTTTATATTCTTTTTTCTATAAAGATATCTCATATTCGTATCATATTTCTGATTCAATTTATCTTATATTTTTGCATGCAATAAGTAAATCCTCGTAAACTTTCTGCTATATTTATTTCTTATCTTCTGTTTAATAATTGCGAAGATCATAAATGGAAATGGTCGCAGCAATAGAAAAAGTCGGAAGATGTCTCCTTTCATGTAGCTTCATATATTTCATAAGCTTTTATTAATCTTACTATTAGTATTCATTTTCTTAAGAGATTAAAAAATCTCTACTTTTCTCAAAGACTTCTGAAAGTCCTATTTGAAAATCCTATCCTCCATTACATATTTCTATACTGAAATTATATAAATTATGCTCTCTCTTATCAGGTTAATTTGGACAATGTATAATTCATAATATAAATATGTTATAAGATACATGTATAAGATAAGTTAAATATATTATAAAATTCTTAAATTAATATATATACGTCAAATGCATATGTCAGTCTGGCAAGCCCAAATGCTAATAATAAACAAGTACCGAGCGTAAAATTGCACCTGAAACTTGAATTTTTTTTAAATGTATAATAGCTATCAATCGTCAACAGTTGATGCTACGTTTCAAATGTACTAATTGAGTAAAGTCGTGTTTCTACTTTGACCAAAGTAGAAACTATCTCATTCTAGTTACATATATTGTACCGAGCGTAAAATTGCACCTGTAACTTGAATTTTTTTTAAATGTATAATAGCTATCAATCGTCAACAGTTGATGCTACGTTTCAAACGTACTAATTGAGTAAAGTCGTGTTTCTACTTTGACCAAAGTAGAAACTATCTCATTCTAGTTATATATATATATATACATATTAGATACGCAAATTAAGAGTTATCACATCGATCTGATCTCATCCGTTTCAATCACAGATCATCATGTTGGTCCGCATTGTCTCCGAATTCGATCTCTAGCTGCAGTCTGTAATCCATGGCAACGAAGACGATAACCAGAAGCACAGGCAAGCGAAATCTAGACTGCCAGCCGAGCTTCAATATAAACATCAAGGAACGATGAAGAGTGCCACTGTTTCCCAGGAAAATGTCAGGCATCCTTTGCATCCTTCGATCAAACCTTCGGATGTGATTTGGGTCAGTGCTTTGTTGCGCTCCTAACTGTATCTCACTAAATGGCGAGAAACAGAAGTCCTTGGTCATCGGGGATTCGGTCCATGTTCCTCAAGACAATCAGATAATCTACTCAAATTTACTTCTTAACGAGTGACTCCTCGTCTTGACGAGGTCAATGTTTTGCATCGCCATATCTGTTAAATTAAGACTTACATGAACTCTCTCTTTTTCTCTCTAAAATGTTAAATCATACAAATTGATTAGCAATTAATTATTTGACATTATAACAATACTAACCGCATTATCGTCCACCGTCTTTAACATCCATTTTTGACAGTTCTTGGGCTTGACTCTTAACATATGCATGCACAAACACAAACACTTCGGTGCACTCAGGTACACATGTGAGTTGGTAATCTCGTTGTTCTATCACAATGATCAAAACGGAGGAGAGAATCAAGTTATCTGAAAGATCGAATTTTAATCTTCAAAAATTTTCAATCTTCAATGTCTTCTGTTTTCATAGCACGATATGGACATTTAATGTATATGATATAAATGGGTGCATTCAGTACTACAACCGCTCACTGAGCGCTCAGTGAGCGCTTGCATCTTATTGGTATATTCCGTTAGAACTAAAAATATAGACCAAACAGATACAAGAGCTCACTGAGCGCTCAGTGAGCGGTCGTGGTACTGAATGCACCCATTTAGTGCAAAATAAGTTTCAACATGTCGCTCCCAGGCACGAAACATATATCTTGAACTACTTAGGTCGGTATTCATAGTCAGTTCTTATATTCAAGACCGTCTTAAGTTCAATCTTGAGATGTCACGAACCAATCAGAGGGCTGTATTAGCATCTTAAGACATTACTTAAGACGGTCTTGAAATAAGATCTGACTATGAATACCGGCCTTAGACTAATATTCATAGTCAGTTCTTATATTCAAGATCGTCTTAAGTTCAATCTTAAGGTGTCACGAACCAATCAGAGAACCGCATTAGCATATTGAGACATTACTTAAGACGGTCTTGAAATAAGAACCGACTATGAATACCAGCCTTAGAGCGGTATTCATACGGACGGTATACAAATATTTCCCACTGGTAACACAGTATTCTTATGATAATTCAAACAACAAAAATACAAAATTGTGACATAAGACCTTATATACCTGTGACATATATACCTTAAGGCGTTTTTTAGATGTCTTCCCTGGTGAAAATTTTTCACAGAACTTTTCGTATAATTTTTCAAAATTTCTATATAATTTTATATATAACTTTCTCACATTTTTTATACAAATTAGAACACTTCTCAGAAAAATTACATCTTTTCTCAGAATTTTTCAATTATGTTAATTATAAATATCGTAAGATTTCTAAGACTTTTTGTAAGAATAATTTATGGGATGAGAAATTTCAGAATATTTCAGAATTCACTTGTATGAAAAATTCTGAGAGATGTAAACTTTCCGAATATTTCTGAGTGTTTCTAAAAAATGTTCCAATTCGTATAAAAATTATGAGAAAAATTTTCACCAGAGTTTAAGACTTTAAAAAAAAAGGGTCATAAGATGTCTTTCAGGGATCTTTAAGATGTCTTGTGTCTTTTTTCCGACATGCGTATTGTACGGGAAGCGTTTTCTCTGCTGAACGCAACCATTTGCAATAACATCGAAATTCGAAAGCTTTCCTTTCGTAATGGGAGCTCTTGTATCTGTTGGTCTATATTTTTAGTTCTAACGGAATATGCCAATCAGATGCAAGAGCTCACTGAGCGCTCAGTGAGCGGTCGTGGTACTGAACGCGCTCAATAGATGCGCTGCGATCGCGATATCGCGATATCTCGCGTCGAGGCCACATACCGGGTGTCGCTAACGTGCGTGCTGGGCGTCGAGACAAGAGGCGTGGTATCGTTTTGGTTAGCCGCGACCGTTGTCAGGCATTTGCCGGGATAAGAGCAATCGGTAGCGTCGGAATCATGCTCGGACGTCTCCCCGCGTGCGTCATCGACGTGGGCACAGGGTAAGCACCACCCCGGAACGATAAAACGGGCGTGATCGATCTTGGAAGAGGGTGGAGTCGATTTTAGGTTTTAGGTTAAGTAGTCAACCGATCTGTCATCGATGACATTTCGGGCCGGAACATGGACCTTTGCATAACGCATAATGCATAAGAGAATTAATCAATCATCTTTTCTTTTCATGAAATGAATGACTTTGATCGGTTGATTCTGTTATGCTTTATGCATCGTGCAAAGATCTGTGCTTGTAAACTTCGGCCAAACCCGCTGCGAACTAAACCCCCTTCACCCCTCGATGATTCACATGCATCTCGCTTTCTTTATGATGAAGAATCTTTTTCGTCCCATGACGAAATCGTATCGACTTGCGTAAAAATATTTGCCGCCCACGCACAATCATGATACGCTCAATGCCTCTCGCTCGTGATTATCAAGCTTGTTCTTTTTCAATTTTTTTCAGAGTTCATCTTTCCTCTTTTTTTTCTCCAACATGTAGAGGAAAAGAGGAAAAATGAACTGTAAAAAGTTTAGCTTGAAAAACCAGGCTAATCACAGGCAAACCTTATCTAATCACGGCGTTATCTCAGGTACACGAAACTGGGATTTGCTGGTAATAAGGAACCCCAGCTGACTATACCGTCAGCAATCGCTATCAAGGAGACAGCTAAAGTCGGCGACAATAATGCAAGAAGAATTACAAAAGGCGTGGAAGATTTGGATGCTTACATTGGGGATGAAGCTTTCGAAGCCACTGGATATTCGGTTAAAGTATTTACTCGCAACCCATTTGTTTGATGCAAGATTGTTTTTTTTTTCTTCTGGATGAATGACGCTTATCAAATGCATTTTAATCCTTAATTTGCAGTATCCAGTGAGGCATGGATTAGTAGAGGATTGGGATTTGATGGAAAAATTTTTACAACAATGCATTTTCAAATACTTAAGGTCAGAGCCTGAGGATCATTATTTTCTCTTAACTGAACCACCTTTAAACACGCCAGAAAATCGGGAATACACCGCAGAAATTATGTTCGAGTCGTTTAATGTGCCGGGACTTTACATAGCTGTGCAAGCCGTTCTTGCCTTAGCAGCCTCATGGACAGCCAAGAACGTAGAGGACCGTACTTTGACAGGCGTTGTTGTTGATAGCGGAGACGGTGTTACTCATGTGATTCCAGTAGTACGTATAAAAACGTGTAATGTCAGAATATCTTGTATTAAAGTCGTATTTTTGGAATCTAAGTTATTGCATTTTTATAGGCAGAAGGTTTTGTCATAGGAAGTTGTATAAAGCACATTCCTATCGCTGGTCGCGATATTACCTATTTCATACAAAGTCTGCTGAGGGAACGAGAGATTGGGATACCGCCTGAACAATCATTAGAAACAGCAAAGTCAATCAAAGAGAAGTATTGTTACATATGCCCGGATATATCGAAGGAATTTGCCAAATATGATAGCGATCCTACGAAAATTAAGAAATATGAAGGTATTAACAATATCACCAAACAACCTTTTGTGGTGGATGTTGGATACGAAAGGTTTCTCGGACCGGAAATATTCTTCCATCCCGAAGTAAGTTGCCTATATACATATAACTATTAATTTATATAAAGTTGTTCTTGTCAACTGCACTTATTGCATAATTCATCTTTTCTCTTTTTTTTCCATGTTGGAAAAAAAAAGAAAAGATCAACCATGCGAGAAGTTCAACTAAAAAGAACAGACCTATAATCAATACCTACATTTTCTGTATCTCAATATTTCAGTTTTCCAATCCGGACTTTACAACGCCGCTCAATGAAATTGTTGACGACGTGATTCAAAACTGCCCAATCGACGTTAGAAGACCATTATACAGTAATATTGTACTATCGGGTGGCTCCACCATGTTTAAAGACTTTGGTAGACGATTACAACGCGACATCAAGAAAATCGTAGACACGCGGCTTAAGCTTAGTGAAACGCTAAGCGGCAGCCATATCACGGTAGATCATGATAACAACTTATTTTTATGAGAAAAATATAATATACTTTGTGTTATTAAATTCTATTTATATTCCAGCCAAAACCAATAGATGTTCGTGTAATATCGCATCATAAGCAACGTTGTGCAGTATGGTATGGTGGTGCATTACTGGCCAGTGATCCAGAATTTTATACGGTTTGTCACACAAAGAAGGCATACCAAGAATACGGTCCAGGAATTTGTCGTTATAATCCCGTATTTCACAGTATGGTTTAAGAAATAAATGGGGCGAGCGCGATGATCGAAATCATTTCTAAAAGTATTGTCATTTATGAATGTAAGGATTATCTGATATTTTTTTTTTTACTTCGTTTTTTTAACATGGTGCTAAATGCAATTAAAAATAATTCGAAGATTCCGACTTGTTGGTACACTTCATATTTTATACTTCTTTTTACAGAATCATGTCGGCATATTTGAGTACATGACTTGAATCTATGATTAGATTATGAAAATTAATGTACATTTATTCGTGTTCTTGAAATTTAATCAATCATCGTTCATGATGTACGTCACATACTTGTATACACTGAGTATGAGGTGCATAGAATTCACTATGTATTTTATTTATATACTGCAGTATAGATATATTTATCATATTTACAAGATTTTAAAAAATGCGTATATAACAGATTTATAATAATGTTACAAATAATTATTTGTTATTTAATATAGTGATGCATATATAAGAGAATGCAACCATAGAAGCAATTTTACATAGAGCAAAAATTCTAACAAAACTTCAATTTTATATATGAAATTTCTTTATACATCGAATGAATCTGGAATTACCTTCTTATTTAATTATTATATGTATTAACTCTCCTTTTTTGCGTTTTTACATGTACTATTTGAAACGATGTATATGTATTATTTAAAACTGCACAATTTGCATAGATTTCTTCTCTGATGTTGTCAAGTTCCACACAATTAGAAACAGTTGTCATTATGCGTGGTCATCATTTTCCTCACTAAACAAACAATTACAAACAAAATGTCATAAGATCATAATATAATGAATGCACAATTAAGTAATGAAAGTCTAAACGATATGAGTTTGATCTTAGCGCTTTCGTTACTTAGTCAAATAATTATAATCATATTACCCCTTATATTATTAATCGTCTATGATTTATAATTTACAATAACCCATAATTGATAACTTATTTTAAGTAATTTAATTATATAAGTCAGTGATTAAAAAACTAAGAGGATAATCAAGATATTACATGTTCCCATCTTTCGGAATAATCATTGTTTTTATTTTTATTTTAGTATATGTACTTACAGTAAATTCAAATCATTCAAAGCAGCAGCTGCACCATTGATATTCCTGAAAAGCGAAGAGAAAAAAAGAGAAAAGATATTTGAACTGTCTGGTCTACTGTTTGCTGTAGGCTTTTTATAAATATTAATGCTGTCTAGTGGTGGTAATGGATCATATGACAACACTGGGTCTTCGTCCTGGATCTGGAATAAGCAATATACAAATTTTAATAAAATTGTATTAATATGTTTCATTTTAATACAGTATGCAGAATACAAGACATTACCTCCTCAATGTGAACCATAACTCCCTGTACCTCTGAAAGTATAATGTGCCTCAAAATGTTCCTTGGCAGCTTTCCCCGATAGCGTACGCTACGCTTTACTGCACAGTATTTGACATAATCATCTTTAGTTTCGACTCGATCTACCACTTTGCACACACAGTCTTCCAGCCACGGTAAAATATCTGTCTCCTTCCAAAGATGGAAGCTACGCATCACATATAATTTTTGCAGCTTCTCTAGAGCCGGTGATGCATTGGCATGGGGGTAGAAGAAGTCATAAGCCTTTATCTAAGAAATTAAAAATATTTAAATAATTATAATTTCTTTAAAACACTTATTTTGCTCTGTGTGTGTGTGTGTGAAATAATTATTTCAAAAAGTGTCATATTCAAGACAAAATTTTGTTTAAGTTTACGATACCTCCGAGTCTGTTTGTATGTTACATTGATCCACTAAGAGCGTCAATACATCTGGAAACATGATAAGAGCATTTTGCAGAAGTTTATCCGCATCAGTTTTATTTCCCATACGAAAATGAGCCAAAGCTAGGCTGTACACAATGTTTGGTAATTGAGTTAAATTTCTGGAGTCCTCCCACAGATTACAAAACTTTATGAACCATTCATATTCTTTGGCTTTTAAAGCATAGAAGTCAATGCACAAAACCACTGCTAATGGATCACCTTCAGGATCCAATGACAGAAGTAATTTACAAAATTCCAAGCTTGTTCTGAAATTTTCATTGAAATTAATGTAAATTCTTACATCTTTTTGCCGATATTCCTTCGATTCGTGCATATTTACCTATAGCAAGCACGTCCACCGACAAATCCAAGATGTTTAAAAAGTGTTATGAAAAGTGCACGATTCTGTTGCTTCCTATAGTCCAATCGACATTTCGCAGTTGTTACATTGAAGAATGGATGAAACGCACATTCTAAGCAGTATAGAGCCCGTTTGATAAACTCTGCTGCATGTGCTAAATCTTCAGTTAGTTTACACATTTCGGATACTTGCAGGAGGGTGTCTATATGGTAAGAATGGATATTCATTATAGTCTGAAACATAGTAATTTATATTAACATTTATATATTGAATAAATTTTGAAGTAAACAATTTTTATCTAGTGAATAAGCTCATAAAGTGATAAAACAATTAAAGATACTCTATGCCAGAAATGCGAAACATTAAATCATATCACTAATGTTACTGCATGTTAACTTACAATTATATTCTCTGGATTCAGACTTTCAACAGCTTGCAAGAATTTTTGTTGTACCTCTTTGTACGAAGCACTATGTTCATATACAAAATAAAGTACATTCTCCGTGGTCTCTGTAGAGTGATCTGGATCTAAAGACATGGATAATCCAGATTTTTTTATTGGTATCCAAGGAATATCGTCTGGGCAAATCAATCGTGTTTTCTTTAAATTTCCAGGACGGCCTTTATTTTTCTTGCTGTAAAAGTATTCTTCGCTCAACAAAAACTTATAAATACAAACATTAACTGTACATTTATACACGAGTACATATAATTATACGTATAGATGTAATTATACCTTTGTTCAGCCTCTATAGTTTTGCTACCAAATATCTTCTTCAATTCATTACATGGATTTAAGTGTTTACGCTGTACAGTTAATATATCTTCCTTAGATACATCATCGACCAATTGCGCTTCCAAAACTTGAGTACTGCAACCTGGTAGTGGTTCCCCAAGCAATTTGTTCACCTCTCTTATACTTCGTTCAATCTCGTCTATGTTCTCGTTACATTCTGCATCGTGTTCTTGCTGACTCTTGACTCTTTCGTTCTTCAACTTCTTATGCTTTTTCTTCTTCCTACGTTTTGTATCGTTGTAATCTGTACTGTTTGTAACCAGATCTTCATCTTCCTGTCTGTCATCAGTATCCTCCTTATCAGAGTTCAACTGTGGACATAACTTTAATGTTATGTTCTGTATGACTTCATTTAGAAAAGAACAAAACGATGTGACAATGTTTAGTTTTACGTACCACATCGAAAACATTGAAAGACTTGGACTTGGTGTTGCTGGCTACTTCTGTGTCACTCGTGTTGTCGTTATCCGTTTCCAGAGTCACATCGCTGCCGTAGACCTTTTTCATATATCGCGTAGACATTTTGATTTATATATAGAAAATGTTTTTTTTTTCAAGAGTTAGAATTTGCTGCTATATCTTTTGTCGCGAGAACGTTTATGATTCAATAGATCCGAGTCTCGTAAATTTCGAATGTTTACTACCTCCTCAGTAATCTACAAAATTGAGCACCTTGTAACATGTAAAATCAATACATCCTCATCTGGTACACTTTTCAAATCCGATTGAGAGACATACTGATACGCACGCTGCAGCTCTAATGCCTCTTACTGTACTTACTATAGGCGAGTGATCTTCCAGAGAAAAAGAAAGGATCTAGAATGCCCTGTAAAAGGATTTTGTTCAGCTGAGATCAAAATAAAGGAAATATAGAGATCGTGAAAAACCGAGGACGGCGGTCGGAGTTAACCGACGAGCTAAATGCAGTTTGGCCAGATTTGGCTAACGAGCGAGTCGACGAGGAGAGAAAACCTCTCCATCTCTCTCCTTTTCTCCCTCTTTCGTTGACACGTCGCGCAAAACACGCAATTTATCCTTGTCGGTAGCAATCGAAACGCGCGATCGAAAAACGCGAGGTCGCAGGGACAAGTGCAGACGAGTCGGCGCGGTTATCGGCCCGTTAACACTTAACACCCGTTAGCCGTTAATAGGCGTTCAACGCCCACCGCCCACGTGAGCCTTTTGGGGTGTACTCATTACATGTCAAGCGCGCTCCCGGATACGTGCACCTGCTTACGTGTACGTTACGGGGCCGGGGCATGTGCGCGGGGCTCGATAATCGCGATCTGACGTCGCAGACACACGGAGTGGCCTACGTTCGCGTTTCACACAAGGTCCGACAGACATGACCATCAAACTGAAGCTGAAGGACGTGAAGGACAAGCTGAAGGAGGACACCCTGGACCTCAGCTTGTGCGATTTGGAGGAAGTGCCTGTGCGAGAAATCGTAAGTTCTTTTTTTTTTTTTAAACTGAATGAAACGTTTATAGAAATCTACTAACTCTTTTTACTATATGGAATATTAGAATAACTTATATTGAATAAATTTATACTTTAGTACATAGAATATTAAAATATCTTTTATGTAATTTTTTTTAGCACAGATTGAGGAACGCAAACATTGTTTAATTTATAAAATAATTAATATAATTATTTTATTGTATATAAAGTGTCATAGAATAGGAGTAATTTGCAGAGTAATTTAAAAACAAATATTCCTCATAAATTCTGTTATATTTCAGGCGTCTCTTAGGAAAGCCACAAATGTCAATTTATCAACCAATCTTCTGATTTCACTGCCGGTACGTTTTATTGGACTATATAAAATTCAGAGATTTTTATGTAATTTAAATATTTTATTATTTAAATATTTGTGTGCTATTGTGGACATTGAATTTTTTGCAGGACACCTTTGTTATCTTGAAACAAATTGTAAAATTGGATCTCAGCAGAAATATGTTGGCCGAACTTCCTAAAAATTTTGGCGAGATGACTCAATTGAAACATTTGGATTTATACGCTAATAAGGTAAACTGCTTTCTCCTTTTATCCTTTGACAAAATTGTACATAATTTGCATAATTTATAGATCAGCAGATTACCTCTGAGCTTAAGTGAATTAAAAAATCTAAGGTGGTTGGATTTGAAAGAAAACCCTTTGACCGAGGCTGTAGCCAGTGTTGCGGGACCATGCAGTAATATGCGCGAGTGTCAGGCATGCGCTCGTAATATCGTCACTTATTTGTCCAATGTTAAACTTGTCATCGAGGAAGAGAAATTACGTAGATTAAATAATGTCACAGGTGTGCGTCGCTCGTTGCACAGTCATTTAAGCCTTGCATAATCCTAGTAAATAGTAGTAACTAACAGTAACATAAATATTGATGTTATAATTTTACATTCAATAATGTAACTGTTACATACAATCATATTATATTGTTAAGAACTGGTTGCCATCTTTAGATAATGTATTAATTTTTCTAATCGATAAATAAGAGAGTAAGAGAGAGTGAGCTGAGACAATTGAATAGGGAAACTGCCAATAATGACGAAAGTTTCCTTGTTCAATTGCTTTGCAAAGGCAAGCGACTTCCTCTAATTTGAATGAGCTGAGATTTATCAAAAGATGGAACAACCCAGTCTAATGCCTGTTTCCACGAATGTAGATTAATTTTATACTCTAATTTTTTTTAGAGTGAAAATTGAGCCAGTCTTAAAAAATAGCTCAATTTTCAATTTTTAAGAGTAACATATATTTCACTTTTTAGAGTGAGATTCACTCAAAAAGTTTTACAGAATAAAATTATAAAAATCTACATTAGTAGAAACAAGCATATAAGTGTGATGAAATTGTAACACTGGCATTACAGTTAAGAGTTAATTAATATTTACTGATGTGTTACTACATATTTCAGGCGATGCAAACAAGGAGATACCAAGTACAAAGAAGGAGAACAAGAAGAAAAAAAGGAAGAAGGACGTGGAAAGGGAGAAAATGAACGGAAATAAAACTGATTCTCCAACACAAAGTGAGGGATGCTTGCAGGACAATAGCGATAGTGTAAGATTAACGGGATCATCGTCCAATAATGCATCTACGCGTAAATCGTATGAATCGACAGGTAAATAAGTACTGATCTTGATAATTTTTTAGTTCGTAAATAAAAAATCGTTTATCATGTATTATTTCATACTGTTTGTGATCCAGGTACTGGACTATGCCGATCTTTCACGTGCGTAATCGTATGGTTCTTCGTGATCAGCTCGTTATTTACCGTAGCGATGGTGATGCTTTCATGGCGTTATGAGCAACAGACAGACGCATTTCTGCAAAATGCGCAGACGTTATCGGGGCTGCCGTTGAAGAATTATCATCGACAGACTACAAATTATTTGCAACGTATAATAAAGATCGCGACTGTGCAGATCAAGTCGATTATCGACGCTGCCAACGATTTCTATAGAACACAATTCGAGAGTGGCACAACCAAGGAGGAGAAAGAATTATAAAACTGTTTGCCTATTTCCATTTAACTGTGGAAATCGATAAGATCACAAAGCATTTAAAGAAAATAACTGAAGCAGTGCATTTAACATTTTGTTGTATCATAAAAGCTTATTTTCATCAAATAAAGAAATATTCCTGACAAGACATGTTATTTATTTTTCGGTGTGATGTTTTAACACTATGATGATATTTTAACACTAGAATTTTAACACCGATAGTATTCTGTTAAAACTGCTGAAGGTGATAATTTGATAATTTCCTATTTTTAGTTAATGAAGAGTTATTTTTATATCATTTATATTATTAAAATTATTTCTATTTACATATTTTTAATATTTTATTAATATACAATTAAATACAATTGAAGAGCAAATGGAAACTTTGACTTCAAGACGCTCATTAAATGTGGATAAGCAAATTACATCAAATTAAATAATATTAGGTTGGTACAAATGAAATGACCGTTTCTCGTATTATAAAAGGGTGGTTTTCCTTTTTCAGTATATTTTACAATATTTTTAAAAAATTAGCGATTATACCATTCGATAGAGCAAAGATTTATAGCTTTAGAAATCTTTTTTAAAAATTACTGTACGGTGATTTTTAACAGAGTTATAAGCAATTAGTCAGAATGCTCCTTTTTACTTAATCCGTGAGTATCTCAGAAACAAAAACCGATCAATGAAGACCGATCAATGAGCTCCCAATGATCCTATAATATTGATTTCTTCCATCATGAGTCAAAATTGTATCGTCGGTGGTTTTAGTGAAAAAAGAAAAGTAAAATTTGAAATCGTCAGGCACAGTTGAAATCGTTAAGACTATAGGCCTGTTCTTTTTGACTGAACTTTTGCACCAGTTCATCTTTCTTCCTTTTCTCTCCAGGAGGAAAAAAGAGGAAGAAAGATAAACTGGTGCAAAAGTTCAGCCAAAAAGAACAGGCCAAATATTTGAACGTGACGCGCATTCGTAGTGCCTAACTTCCGTAATTTACGAAAAGTCCCTAGAGCCGCTTCCGGAAGGCTATAGCTGGTCGCCTATTGGCCAAATTCATCACGAGCCTCTCTGATTGGTCAGTCCAGTGAAAAAATTCCAAGTACCGGTCACTGCGAGTGGCTGCGATCGATCTCGACGTGGTTAAGGTTGGTCAAAGTGATCAAAGTGATTAAACGGGACGCTTCTGGAGTATTCTGGATGCTTTCGCAATCACGATTTGTAATTGCTTTTGTTGTGTGCATCAGCACATACATACACTTGTAATACATACGTACTTATTACACACGCAGCCACTGGCTTAATTAGCTTTTATAACATCATACAAACAAAGGTAGCAAAAGGTTAAAGGAGCCTGAATTGTTCGATCTGCTTCACGTGCGGATTACACCGGAGATGGAAAACAGTGGCGAAAGCGGCGATGATGGTCCTCTAGGATCGACGTTTCTGAGTGGAAATACCGTTGCGGGATCCTACATTGGCGTACAGTCGGATGACATGGAAGGTAGGTTAGCGTTTCCCTCCCGAGCCCCGAGAATCAACTTCGAAAATGGCAAAGTAGCTGAGATGCTCGAGAGTTTCACTGAATATTATCTTGTATTTTGTATCATCGAGTTTACATCAAGATAGATCAGGCTGATTTTCTGGGTGGAAAAGAAGGATGCAAGTATGTGGCTATTTACTCGGACCACAATGTGTTTATACTGCAGTTTGCCCCTCGTGCACCTTGAGTATCGTTTTGTATTTAAAACTAAATTTTCCACTTTCAACGAATAATTTTCATCCATCAGTTATCTTGGGGACGTACCTCTGATCGTCTTGGATTGATAGAACCTATTCCTATCATAGCAATTTTTTAAATACTGTAGTGTGTTTACACTTAAATTTCATTTTAGATTTATTTGTTATTACTGCACTGGGCTGCGTTAGAACTTCCTTTCTCGCTTTTATCGAATATCATATTTTTAACTATAAAACACAGACTTTGTATCATTATCACTAACTTTTTCACCGTCGACACATGATTTTTATCTGTTGCTCGTCTTAGAGACATGAAGCATAATAAACATTTGTCAAGAAAGCACATACCTGCTATCTTGAACTTTTACGTAGACTGTATTATTGAAATACAAAGGTATGGGAACATATCAACTCTAAGTACTTACGAAAAGATTGATACTTGTATTTAGATAGTATATTTACATGGTAACTCCTTTGTAAGTCGTCGCGGACCAGATTACAAGTCAAATCCCTTGGATAGTAAGACAATGTATAAATCTTAATAAATGCTTTTTTTTAAACAGATGATCCCGAAAACACGGACGACTCGAATCATGGCACGGGGGATCCTTTGCAGAGCCCTGGAGTTTCCACCGGCGGTGGGCCGCTTCGCGAGCAGGATCGCTTCTTGCCGATAGCAAACGTTGCCAAAATCATGAAGAGAGCCATTCCAGAGTCCGGAAAGATTGCCAAAGATGCGCGTGAATGTGTTCAGGAGTGCGTGTCAGAATTTATCTCCTTCATAACTTCAGAAGCGAGCGACAGGTGTCACATGGAGAAGCGCAAAACTATCAATGGTGAAGACATTCTTTTTGCCATGACTACGCTCGGCTTCGATAATTATGTCGAGCCTTTGAAAGTGTACCTGCAAAAATATCGTGAAGCAACAAAAGGTGACAACCCGCCCAACGCAACGGCCACTGGCAATGGAAAAACAGAGCCGCAGAGCATGTACGAGGATCAATTGTTTGCTATCACCGCGACGGCGTCCAGCGTGAGCACTTCCGACTCGTCTGTCATCTACAGTTACTCGTCGAACGAGCAGATGCAGTTTCAACTTTCCTGATCATTAGGAGTTAAAGTGATATTGATATAAGTATTTATCGTATTTGTTCAGAGACACTGTGATCTGTGAAACATGGGCATGCAGATGATAACATACAGATTCAATCATGTGGAAAAAAGGAACGGTATTTGCCTAGCAATAAGCATAGCAAAGTATCTTTAAGTTTTAACATTAACATCCATGATCATAATAAGATTCGGTTCAGATAAAGTATATAAGAGATAAAATAATTTTAATCTTTGTAAAGAAGCTTGTAAGCGTGAGCGTAAATAAATCAGAAGGCTTCGCGAACGGGACCCGGTCGACGTAGTTGGTTTTCCTTTACTTTTTCGAAAACAAGGATAAAAAAACAGCCGATTTTTTTATTCTTCTATTGTTTAAGTTTAAATTCTAAAACGCATTTAGGCTACTTTTTAGGCTGCGAAATTTCGCGGTTCAGGCCATAACGGAAACTAGGATCGAGCAATCGGGCGTGAACCGGCAGTAAATCGGCGTATGGTATATAGAATTCATTCGTAGAAAATGTTCGTGGGCGCGCGAATCACGTTGTCTTTTACTCCGGTAATTGGGCAGGTGAAAGCAAGAGCTCGTGTCCCTTCGTCGCCGGCGACATGGAGCGGCTCGTGGGCGCGACTGGACGTTCCCGTTCTTGGTGCATCGACGGCGGCAATAGCGAGGCGGTCGATAACGTTCCCGGTCCCGGTTGCGTGTCCGCTTTCCTCGCCTTCTCCTTGTGCGAGGCGACTTGACAGAATCGCCAGCGACACTGACCACAGTGGCATAGGCAGAGGCACAGCAACACGCGGAACAGACAGCACAGCAAACCGGCGCACAGTAACGACGGGCCGACCAGCCTCAGCTGCGGGCTCAGGAAGCCCTTCTCCCCGGTGCCGACGAATGAGATAACTAAACCGAGCGCGGTGGTCCCCAAACCGACGTAGAGCACGGTGTTGACCGCCGCACTGACCTCGCCTCGCTGATGAATGGCGTTACTGCTGTCATCTTCGTCGTCGTCCTCGCCGCTGCTTCCGTAGCAGTAACTGGCGTCTCTTATCTGAAGTACACGATTTCTTATATCATTTTTATTTTCTCTAAATGGCCACATCCAGCAGAATGCTTATTTTGCAACTGTTGAAAGTTTTCTTTGCTGAGACAGGATTTCTTAAATTTTAACATTAAATTTTCTATTATGTGAAAATGGACCGAGAAATGTTCAACACAAATGAGTGAAGAAGACCATATTCGATGAAGGCGAGTCTTGATGCCTAATAATATTTTTGTGTAAATTTTTACAATTTCCAGTTCCAAGCATAAAAATTTTTATTCGGGTTTTAACATTTTAAAATTTTTTCCTCTAGATTTAAAAGTATAATCCAACCAACGCAAAGGAAAATTTAATAGTTGCAAAATAAACATTTTGCTGAAAGTGGGCAATATTATAAACATCCTTCTTTCATCTCTCCTTTTTTTTTAACATATTGTATCAGTGTCCAAAAAAAAATTACCCTGTTTCTTTTCATCCATCGTCGATGTGCTTCGCATTGCTTCGTTCTGTATCCAGGCGATGTGGGAGATAAGGGAAGGGGCGAAGGTCTGCTGCATCCTTGCCACGCCGCCTTGCCGCCAGGTCCCTGACCGCCGCACTGAAATACGTAATTCTCAGACATATCATTATAAATAATTGTTGAGGCCAATGAATCGCATGATCTTCCGTTAAAATGTAAGTACTCTCATTGAAGCGTACATTCTTTTAATTTATTGTATCTCGTAACTACTTTATATTCTACAAGAAAATTCCGTGGGAAGTTCACAGTGTTCTAGATAAGCAATAGACACAACATAAAACCCTTCAGTATGAAACCCTTTGTAGCTCCTTTGAACATTGATGTGAGCTTTACATGAATGAACGAAGTATTAAATTATTTCAGTAGATGGTATAGCGAAGAAATATATGATTTATCTGAACGATTGATATATTTGCTTCATGATTGCCCGATTGATTTCGTCGTAATTGGCCCGAAGGAATATTGATCAATGAGGTATGCACGTACGCGATTTCGTAAAACTTTTACGTCAAGCCTTATTCATAACGAGTTCGGTTCTAGGTATTGGTATTCAGAAGAACTGCGCGATCCTAATTTATAGAGTTTATACGAAGGGATCAAGATCGCTTTTTTGACGGCCGTGAACTCTTGATACTTACCCCGTATATGTAAGATCGTGGGGGATACCGTGGTAGCGGCGGAATGAGTCTGGTGGCAAAATTGGAAGGTAATTCTCTACCAATCTTACCCCCCCGTAATCGCTGTTTATCTCGTCTATCTCGTCTAATTAATAGAGCAGCCTGCATCCCGCTCGTTCATTTGTATATACTATCGATTGAGATCTCAGCCCCCTGATTGCCCAGTTTTTTTTCTCTTTCTTTTTTCTTATTTTTTTCCTTTCTCCCGATACGATGCGAAGAGACCAGTCCACCTCAAAGCTCCATCAGCGATCGATACCGATCTAATGTTGCGCTACCCGCCATCGGCATCGATCGCTGCTCGTTCTCGTCGATGATAATCGTGGCAAGCATGTTTCACGCTATACTGAAATTATATTACGAGTCTTTAGCCAATTTGGGGGCTTGGGAGATATTCGGGCATAGAGAATCTGTCGCCTCTCTTACGCTGCTCTCGACGGGTTTATCGCGTGTAATACGCCACCAGACAGCCGATCGATTGCTATTTACTATATAACGTTGTACGAAGTGCCGGCAAAAGAGATGTGGTGCAATCAGAGGGAGCATATACGCATTGAGTGAGGGTGAGTCGCGCTAAAGCGATAGAGAAGTGAGCTAGTAATTCTCGTTAATCTAATTCAATGATTGCACTTGGCAGAGATGACAATATAAAGTGATCGAATTTTCGATCAGTTGTGTGCTCAGACACACACAAAACTGAAGTTGAAAAATTAAAATAAATATTCTCTTCCCAAAATTTGTGGCGATAAGGAAACGTTGTCTTCTATTATCCTGACTTTAGTAATATAATAACGAAATTCACAGAAATTCACTTGAAAAGAATAAGGAAACATACTGCAAAAATAAAGCAAAAATAACGCAAATGAATATTGTAACGATTTCTATATAATCATTTTTTATTATTTGTAACAATTATAATAAACTGAATACTCTCAATAATTTTCTCTGTCTAATTGCGCACATTGCGGAGGGCACAATTTATCTCGCCTTGCATGATTTCTGTAATAAGTACGCATGAACGTAGTGTGGAAGATAGTAAGGGTGACTTGAGCGAGATATAGAGAAAAAGAGAGAGAAAGAGAGAGAGAGAGAGAGCGGCTAAAGAACAGCGTGAGCCCGAAAGAGGCTGGTGATGAGGAGAGAGTACCCGATGATGTTACCCACCTGTAGCTCCGAAGTAGGAGGCGAGACTCGGAGATCGAGGATCGAGGGTGGCGGGAAGGGAAAATTGCTGGACTTGTTGGCCGGGAAGGTGGTGGCGGATGCCGAGGATTCGAGGGAGAGCGGAGGCGGTGAGATCGGGAATTGGATCGGTGAGACTGGGGCGACCTGCTGGGACTTGTGACGGTCGGTGTGACGGCGCCGATCGTCGATGACCGGGTGGAATGCGGCGGATGACGACGACGTCGACGTCAGTGCCTGGTTTTGCGCTCGCGGGGCTTGCTGTGCTGATGCGACTTGATGCGGACAGGCGGCGAGCTTGGTCGGATGGTGATGGTGATGGTGGTGGTGCTGATGGTACTGGTGGTGATGCTGATGCTGGTGTTGGTGCTGGTGCTGATGCTGGTGATGCTGGTAGTGTTGTTGGTGACGCGCGCCAGGCGGTAAGCCGGTCTTCAGTCTTGACGGAACGACGTTGACCGGCACCTGCTTGTTGAGCTGCAGCCGCTTCTGCTTCCTCCGATTGGCGATACTCGCACCACCCGCCGCGGCGTACATCTCTCCGCGGGTTACCGGGTCGCTTCTTCGCTCGCCGTCTCAAGGCGACTCCGTATTCGGGGCAGCCCCCAGTTCCGGTTACGAATTACGTCGCATTATCGGTTGATGATCGGTCCTTGCCATGGTGTATGTCTCTCGCACCTTCGTTCTATCCCGAGGAAATATCACTCCCTTTTCCTTTTCTTTCTCTCACTTTTTTCCTTGCCCCTCTGGAAAGGCAAGAAATGTGACGGAGCTCCGCCCGTCTTTGGCGCCCGTCATTACGGTCTACGTCTCTAAATCGCTACGCGGCAAGCACGATTAAAAGCGATCCATCTTGCGTTGGATCAAATTTTCACTAATTGGCGAACGCATAACGCATCATTAGCTTAGTGACTCGTGTACGCAAGTGGATATAAGTTATACCATTTTTTTCACGTACGTAATTAATTCCGCGAAAGGTGGAAAATATTTATTCTTTCTTATTCAATTTCTAAAACTCGAATGAAACGATATATACAGATCTATTCTTCTTTTTAATTGTCATTACTAATTTTGTATTTTCTTTTGTATTTAAAGCGAAATAAATACTCAGGTCTTAAATGAGTAAAAGGAAGCAAAAAATTTGTAGAAATTGAGGAAAAATTCAAGAATTATATATTACAATATTATATAATCAATTACAATTATATTCTTACATAATATCGCATAATGTTTTTAATTTTGTATTTTTCAATGTATCATTTAATTCAGTCTTCAGTCTTAAAATAAAATTAAAAAATTAATCTGCCAAATAATCTGATTAAAATTTGTTTTTTTTCTTGATTTAAACAAGATTATTAATTATTTAATTAGTAATTAATGTAATTTTCGTATAAAGTACTATTTAGAATATTTCGGTTATGCGTTCGCTGAATATCAAATGTAAAGTTACGTTTTATGTTTAATTTACATTTAATTGCCACATCTACAATAACTACAGTCTAGCATAACACAAGAAAATTCTATATACATAATTATATGTTCATTTAAGAAATAATTTTTTGTGAAATTGGGAACACCTTAAATAAATTTTATTTAGTATAATTTTGGAATAGTGAAATAATATTGTACAAATTAATGATGTTCCTTTAACTAAAATTTAAGCAAATATGTATATAATACAATAATTGTAATTATGTAATATTTTTTATATACATAAATTATACACATACAAACTAAAATTTAAGCAAATATGTATATAATACAATAATTGTAATTATGTAATATTTTTTATACACATATAAATTATATTACATACGAAAATATTTTAAAACTAATTTAAAATATTTAAAAACTCAGTTTACATTAATAAATGACAATCCTACGGAGCAATTTAATGCTTTCGAAAAATTATTTCTTAAATTTGATTTTGATAAAATATACATGTACATTATTGGTTCATTCTTAAGATAAATTTAGACAACATGAACTGATTGATTTATGTAAAAAAAAATGTTTGATTTATTTAAGATTTAATTTTAATCAATGTATGTGTGCGGGAGACACGTTTACAATATTCTTTAAGCATTGTGACAATTCATAATTGTCATATTACACCATTATTTACAATATTCAAAAAAGTATTAGAAGCAGTTTCTACCTTATGCATATTTACATTTTACACACATTTATATCAAAAGTGCACTTGATTAGTGATTACACGCTGTAAGCGCTTATTGCGAAGAAAAAGCAATGAGAAAAGAATAGTGAATAGTGAAACAAATTACAGGCCACGTGCAAAATGCGCGAATTTCTTTTTATTGATTACTGCAATCTTTTATGACTGATTTCAGCAATGTCTATTAGTTCCAAAATTAAATAATTTTTTTGTCTCTAGAAATAAATCCTTTTTAAATAAAAAACCGACTTTATTATTAGTCTAAATTAATTAAATAATTAATCGATATTAAATATCAATCGATACACGCAATCACTATAAGAAGGCAATAACTGTTTGAATTTTTAATTTCAATTTATTTAAATCTTTGAAGTTAATGAATCTAATATAGTTCGATTGTATGTACATATAAAATTTAAATTAATTAATTTTAACAATTATAATGTAACACACAATTATAACGTAGAATTTCTAACAATTTAAACGGTTTAAAAAAAAAGAAGACGGAAAATGGAGTTAATACTGTTATTCAAATTGACGAGGCAGTGCGATTAATTATCTCTCCCCTTCTACAAAAATGTAGAAAGCGGCAAATAATTAATTAACACAGTTCTCTTTCTTCATTTTCTTCTATCTTTCTCTCTTTCTTGAATTTCAGTGCTGCATAAATAATAGCGCGGTTGAAGTTACTAATCTTGGTGAAACAGAACACAAAATTATTCACATTGGAAATCAGCTGCTTATACCCGAAGATTCGGAATCGTTCTTCAAGAAAGTTGTCCACACTGCGGCGGTTAAAAATGCATGACTGGTGAGTTGGATAGTTAGTTGGTACCTAACGGATAAGCGGCATGCATAGGCGACGGATATGTGCGTGCATGAAGATATAGATAGGGAAATATTCGACGTAATGGCTTTGAATAATTGCTGTATCAAAGTAGACCATGGCGAACGCGACACGCAAGAGGCACCAAGAAGAAGAGAAGAATGTTATCATCTACTTGTGATAAATAGGAAATTACAGGCTGGCTGGTGGCCCTCGGGTACATCATGTAACTCTCATTCTCTCACGACAGCAATGAAAATTCTTTTTTTTCTAAGGATGATTATATTGGAGGAATCTAAGGACAACGAAGACGACGACGACAACAACGAGACAACAAAAAGGCTATGCTGGAGTACATCTTTTTCTCTCTTTTTTTTTTAATTCGGTCGCAAATGACCGCTGCAGCAGCGAACGGCGGCAGCAACAGCAATAAATATATAGCAAACAAAAAAGAAGAAACAGGCATCAAGCCAGCCAACAACATCAAAAACGACTGCGCGTACCAACAATCCGAGAGAGAGAGAGAGAGAGATAGAGAGAGAGGTATCGCAACCGTGATTAACCCCCTTATTTACTCTCTTTCTCTGTTTGTCTCTCTCCCTCTGCCTTTCTGCCTCGTTTCCTCGACTCGTTCACAATAAACAGTGATACATCGACATTTTGTCACCCCGTTGCGCTCGCGAGGGTTCCTTCTTTTATGCGCTGCCCTTGTCCGTTCGTGCCACTCTTTATCACGAACAATTTGGTACACGGACAACGACGACGACGCGACACGGTTCAACGAATGGCGCGTCTCACTCGATCGCCAGCAAGGCGCACGAAACCTCCATCGTCCTCGTGAACATAGACGCACCCGTCACCCCCGAGCGTGCGTGCAACCACCCACGACTACCGACTGACGGACGGACGAGCAGCCGCAGACAGCCGCACCGCACGCGCCTCTACCCTCTTTCTCCTTTTCTTTCTCTCTCTTCCTCACTATTTCTCTGTTTTTCTCTCTTTCTCTCTCTCTCTCTTTCTCCACTTCATCCCTTCTACCATCGGCAACCGCGAGCGCAGTAGGGACCTCGCGCAGGGTTGAATCTAGGCGGGGATGCGAACATAACAGCAGCTGACCTGTCACTTTCACCGCATTCACACGGAAGTGTCGCATTCGCAAAAAAAAAGAAAAGGAAACATGATTTGATCATGATTGTAAAAAAACTCAATTGATTTAGGATCAATGATAATTATCGAGAGATAATTCATACAAAGGAAAGGCAGAATTTATATAAATGAATTTTGTATGTTTCTATTTGGATTGCAGAGGGATGTAATACTACAAAATATCATTCATATAAACTTAGGAAAATGTTACGCCAGCGATAATAAATCGCGGTTTGCATTTATACAGCAATTTATATAATTATTATTCATATTTTGCAACCCTCGCAAGTGATACAAAGGTGAGGGGGTGCTGTTGAACGACGCGCGCGTGTGCAAAAACGCCGAAGTCGAATTCTAGGGCAACCCGCTTTGGAGGGTGCCTATCCGCCACCCCGGCTGTAACCCGGTTACCTCGCCTTCTCGATCTCACCCGAGTCGATATCTGTGCTAGCCCGTTGCCTTTGACCTTTCACCTTTACCGCCCTAGCCTGATTTCACGACGCAGGCAACGACCTGCTATTATTTTACCTTCATATTTTAATTGTTGGATGATTCATGAATTTCTATTCGGACTATTATAAGTATCATAAAAATAAATATAAATGCTACCACATATTATAACATATAGAAAATTTATAATAAGTAATACGTATAAGAAGAAAGAAGAAATTAAGTAAAAATAATATTTATTTTATATATATTTTTTGGACTAATTGTTAAGAAAATATATACGAAAAGAGGAAAAAGAGGAAGATCTACTATGACTTATATATACAGGGTGTCATTAACCGATTAAATTACCAATCGTGAGCAGGTAGAGTGAACCGAACTAAGTCGAAAAGTCCTCTATCATTTCGCAATTTTCACAATAGTTAACAAGATATTAATTATTAAAAATGGCCGAATATTGGTCTTCAATCATTTTTTTCTCAAATACTATCAATTTTACAAAAAAACTATAAGAGGCAAAATTTGTTTATTTTCTTCTCATAGAACTCTAAGAATTTTTTCAGAATTTTTTATCAACTTTTTAGTACTG